TTGGCATTTTTTCAAAAACCTAAAAACAGAATTACCACTCCCAATCCCACAATTGGGAATATACCCAATGAATGTAAGTTATTCTACCATGAAGACGCATGCACGCATATGTTAATTGCAGCACGATTCACAATAGTAAAATCAAGAAATAAACCTGTATGTCTTCAACGGTAGACTGGATAAAGAAAATGTGCTATGTAAACACCATGAAACATGATGCAGCTACAAGAAAGAACATCATCATGTCCTTTGCAGCAATGTCGATGGAGCTGCAGACTGTTATTTTTAGAAAACTAGTGCAGGAACAGAAAATCAAAAACTGTATGTTGTCACTTTTAAGTGGGAGTGAAATAATGAGAATACGTGCAGACACTGAGGTTCAGTTCAGGGTGGAGGGTTGGAGGATGAAGAAAATCAGAAAACAAATCTGTTGGGTACTATGCCTAGTACCTGAGTGATAAAATAATCTCTACACAAAAACTTCATGATACGATTTTACCTATATAACAAACCTGCATGTATCCTTGAACCTAAAATAAAAGGTAAAACAAAAATTCAGCTGGGTGTGTGGTGGCTCACAGTCGTAACCCCAGCCCGTTGGGAGGCTGAGGCAGGCAGATCACCTGAGACCAAAAGTTGGAGACCAACCTGGCCAACATGGTGAAATCCCATCTCTACTAAAAATACAAAAATTAGCTGGGCGTGACGGCACGCACCTGTAATCCCAGGTACTCAGGAGGCTGAAGCAGGACAATCACTTGAACCTGGGAGGCGGAGGTTGTAATGAGGCGAGATCGCACCACTGAACTCCAGCTTGGAGGACAGAGCGAGACTCCCTCTCAAACAAACAAACAAAAATTACTATCTTGAAGAAAATATTCAGGCGTAGGCAACCACAGACTGCCAATTAATCTCTGATGACATAACCAAGAAATGTTCACTGGGATCTTACAAATAAGGAAACTACATAACTCTACCAAACCAATTATTAAATCTGGTTTGCTTCATCATGCAACTTATAACAGACTTTTCTTCAAGTCTCTCCCATGGATCACAACCCACAAACCATAGCTGGGCGCTATTCTTGAATCACACTTTGATCAGATTCTCATTTTTACAGTGACTCTCATACATTTTTAAAAGGAAAAATGAGGAACTAGGGAACCCAGGACCACAGCTCTTTCCACTCATGAATCCTGTACCCTGAGTCAGGATTCTCCCCTAATGACTTTCTCATCCCCGCACAATATGGGTGAGATGAGGCGCTGGGAGTGCACAGCAAACCAGGGAGGCCTCCAGTCCAGGGCAAAGCCACGGCAGAGGAAAAAGACTCAACTCCCAGGGTCCCAGCCGCTGGCCCAGGCACCATCTTGCGGCTCAAGGGGACTGAGAGCCGAGCTGGGCCAAAGAGGATTTGGGTCCTCAGACTCTGGAGCTGACTGCGAGAAAGTTTGGGTCCTGCCACAGCCACTTTCAGCCGGTTCCAACCAGCCTCCACCCCTCTCTCACGACGACAGACCCAGCACTCACCATTTCTCGGCTTCCAGGGGGTCCCGGTCTTTCAGTCACAAATTTGCGGATACCTGCATGACACAAGGACACATAGATTTGACCTGTAGGAGCAGAAGACGCAGAGCAGTGAAGAGAAGAACTGCAGCTCTGGACGCAGGGAAACGCAAAGGACCCGCAAACTTAACGGAAGCAGCCTGTTCTCTCCAGCTGCATGCCTGATTGGATAGTTTCTAGTCTGCGGCTCCTGATTGGATAAGGTTTCAGGCCCCACCCTTCATGCCCCAATGAGGTAATACATGATCAGACACTGGGCTGAATCGAGCAAAAGTAACAGCCTAGGCTGCAGCCTTTACAGGCAGGGCTTCTTCCTTCATCTGAACCAGGCCAACTTCAGAGGATATTTGCATTTAACCTTGTGTACAACGTGACATGCATTTATAAATGATATACAATATTTATTCATAAATTGAAATAATAGCAAGCATTTTAAAATTTAGGATTTTATGACCTTTCTTGCTGTGGATCCTTTGCAGTGATATGGTGTGACTCTGTGGCTCCACCCAAATCTCATCTCAAATTGTAATTCCCGTCCATGCGCGGTGGCTCACACCTGTAATCCCAGCACTTTGGGAGGCCGAGCAGGCAGGTCACTAGTTCAGGAGTTCGAGACAGGCCCGGCAAATATGGTAAAACCCCGTCTGTACTAAAAATACAAAAATTATCCAGGCGTGGCCCCACGCGCCTGTAGTCCCAGCTACTTGGGAGGCTGAGGCAGGAGAATTGCTTGAACCTGGGAGAAAGAGGTTGCAGTGAGCCAAGATGGTGCTATTGCACTCCAGCCTGGGAGGCAGAGCAAGACTCCATTTCAAAAAAGAAAGAAACAAACAAACAAAAAAGAAGTCCCTGAAACAAACAAAAACAACAAAATAATGGATCAAGTTTCCCTCTTGTTTTATGTTCTTGGGAGCTTGAACTTGTAGCCGTGTGGCAGTATTTTCTCTTGGTTTCTACTATCAGCATACAGAAATTTTGAAATTTATGTTATGCTTAACTCTAAAAATGATCTTTGAGCCGTTAAAAACCTTTGCAAGCTCAAAATTGGCTGCTGTAGGCTTCTTCTGGGAGACGCCATTGGAGACTGCTCCGTGCTGTAGCTCAGTAGTTGGGCTTTGCTGTCTCACAGTGGCAACCGGAGTTCAGAGTTCAATTTCTGGCTTAGGAAATGAGTCCTTTCTGATTTGATATCTGTGTGAACATTTGTTGATTCCCCTCCCCTCCATGAACCATTCTGGATTTTCCTTTCTTTGAGCTACCTTTGAAGATTCTAGATTTCGTAAAAACTGCTTGGCATCGTTTTGAAAATACCTTGTACACTTGTGGTTAGGTTCATAACCTTAGTTAAAGCTTATTGGTTTCAGGAGGCGGAGGTTGCAGTGAGCCGAGTTTGGCCACTGCCCTCCAGCCTGGGTGACAGAGGGAGACTCCATCTCAAAACAAAACAAAACACAAAACAAAACAAAACAAAAGTTTATTGGTTTGAACTGGGAGGTTATGTTAGTGAAGTTCAAAAGTCAGAAATGTTGGCAATTTGGCATGGCTAAAGTCAAGCAATGTGAGAATTAAATAAATGTTTTTAAAAAGGACATCATGGTTAAAAGCTGGCTTAATTATTATTATTTTATTTACTTGTTTATTTTGAGATGGAGTCTTGCTCTGTCACTCAGGCTGGAAAGCAATGGTGCAATCTTGGCTCACTGCAACTTCCACCTCCCGGGATCAATCAATTCTCCTGCCTCAGCCTCCTGAGTAGTAGGGATTACAGACACCCACCACCACATGTGGCTAATTTTTGTATGTTTAGTAGAGACGGGGTTTCACCATGTTGGCCAGGCTGGTCTTGAATTCCTGACCTCAATTGATCCGCCTGCCTCAGCCTCCCAAAGTGCTGGGATTACAGGCATGAGCCACCACACCTGGCCCAAAAGTTGGCTTAATTAATTGCAGATATTCAAGCTCCAACAGCTGGAAGTCCTTGGAAAAAACAGAGGAGGTGCCACAATAGGCTTTTTGGGAAAAACGTCTGTTTTCCTCATGAAACCCCAGGAATTGGAAGTAGATAGATCCCTCTCAGAGTCTAAGGCTCTGTTCCATTTTTGCATTGCATTATCTGATGGTTTTTACTTTCCAGGGTATCAGAAATTACTTCACATTATGAGACAATTTAGATATGTAACAAGTAGGTAGGAAATATATATTTAGGGATGGTTAATGGCAGCTACAGGGGAAACGCAGCTTTTTGCACATTTGAATCAGAGAAATGTGCTCTTGGCCGCCTAGAAGGCATGGAAATGTCCCCTCCCCACAATGAGAAGTAAGACGCCAATGGGAGATGGGCCGATTCTCTCTTTTTGGGATCCAGGTTCTGGTATAAAAATAGCAGACTTAATTTGCGGGGGGCAGGGGTGGAAATCTGTTTTGCCTTCCAGCTGTGCCTACTTATTAGGCTGTAGAAACTGCTTGGTTTTTGCTTTCCTGGCCCTGTTTCTCCTAGGGATCCATCTTGAAGCCAGGGTGGTAATCCAATTAAGAAACTGATGAATGAAAAATCTTACAGGTACTTGATCTTCTTCCATCTGTGTATTTCTATGTGTTGTGTGTGTAATATGAAGGAGCTTTGATTAATTGGTTTAAAAATAATAAGAGCTCAAATCAAATATTTTATCAGAAAAATAGAAACCATGGTGTACTCTAGTTTACATCACTTTAGTAATCATTGGGAAATAAAAACAGTTTTACATGCTAGGTATGTAAAAAAAGTAAAATATGTTTTTGGTAAAAGACTACAAGAAGTCATGGGAATGTGGATTACTTTTGGCCTAAATTAAAGGATTAAAGGATTGTTTTAAGTTAGATAAAATGGAGCTGAAGGATTAACCAAGTTGTGAAAGGTTTGTAAAAATTTACATCTTGTAAAAGAAATTCTGTGTGTTAACATATTGGCTAAAGTTAAAGGCGTATTCAGTTTTTTTATAAATTGAACACTGGAATAAAAGAACAGCTGGTTTTCCTTAGAGCACTAATCTGCTTTTTCACAAAAATTATAAAGTGTTATCAAAGGATTACAGGAATCTTACCTTATGATCAAAGTGATTAAGACTAGATAGATTTGTCTATAAGGTTTTATTAAGAATTAGGTTTGACATCAATAGTGCACTAACGCAATGGTGAGATTTAGCTTTCTTTCATGAACAAGATTTTCATGTAATATTTTAAAAATGAAAGATTTTGTCTGCCCTTTTGAATAAACTGGAGCAAAAGGAAAGGAAAAAAAGATTGTTTGGAAAGTGAAGTCTTCCCTCTATTCATGAGTAAGGGTTTTTGCCTTTTTAAAATTTTTGAGTTATCATTTTGGTTAATGAGTGACTTATGATAACCTGGGATTTGATATTTGACAAACCTTTAAAAAAATCAAATTATAAATTATGTATTTTTCTTACCTAAACATCTTTTAGATATTAGGTCCTCTAAAGTACAAAAATGACATTTGGCTTATTCGGTATAAAAATCATACAGGAAGAAATGTCAGAAAGCATTGTCAGGCTGGGTTCAATGACTCACACCTGAAATCCCAGCACTTTGGGAGGTCAAGGAGGGTGGATCACCTGAGATCAGGAGTTAGAGACCAGCCTGGACAACATGGTGAAACCCTGTCTCTACTAAAAATACAAAAAAATTAGCCAGATGTGGTGGCATGCACCTGTAATCTCAGCTACTCAGGGGGCTGAGGCAGGAGAATAACTTGAAGTCAGGAAGCAGAGGTTGCAGTGAGCAGAGATTGCAGCATTGTACTCCAGTCTGGGCAAAAAGAGTGATACTCTATCTCAAAAAAAAAAAACAAAAAAAACAAAAAAAAAAGGAAAGAAGGAAAGCATTGTCAAATATGAAATGGTGTTTGATTTTTCTTGGGCTGTATTTGTATAAATATGTTATTGGTATGTGATTCAAAACAATGGAAAACTCCTATAATTCCAATATGACTTAGTGTATGTTGTTAGTAGTAATAATTGTTATGTAAAATCATTGTATGCAACAGAAGTAACCAAAATCTGTCAATTGTAGCTTTAATAGTGGCTGTCCTAAGACTTCTTTGTCATCCACAGACAATTGTTGTCTTGTTTTAATCCTCGTTGAAAGGTGATTTACAATCATGTTTAGGACATTGATAGGTGCTCTTAAATGCAGGTTTCTGATACCTTTGGAAATTTTGGCAATAGAATAAAGAAAAAACTTTCAGGACTCTCGTGGAGAGTTGAAAGGTTCATGAATATCAAGCAGAAAGGGAGATAACTGCATGGAGTGAACTAATATAAGACTAAAGTAATTTTTTGACTTTGCCTGAAATATTACTGATTCTTTGTTTTGTTTTTCGGAGTCCTGAAAACTTTTATTTTGAGCTATTTACAGCTTTTAGCAATCGAATAAAATATACTTCTGTAAACAAAATTTGGAGCACATTTGTTGCTATCTGTTTTCTCCAGAATTGGAAACTATTTGTGAGCATTCTTAACTTATGGCAATATAATTTGCATAAGTGCAAAAGAATGTTTTCTTCTGCCACAGGACACTGTTGGGGAAATTAGTTATTTTGCCAAGGCTTTGACTGGAATGACATGCTTTCCTTTAAGGAATCAAACTTGACTTACAGAGCCAATAAAAGCCCACTGGGAAAACTGGCTTTATGCCTTGTCTACACAGTCCCTATACAGGGTTCCTAATCTGTGGTAAGTAAATAATGTCACTTTTTCACAGGCTCATGAGCCTGAGTTATCCCGTGATATCAAAAGAGAAATGTATGCAACTCATATTTCAGGGTATAGACTCATGGCTGGCTCAGCTTTAAAAATTCTTATCTGAGATTCATTGTATGGAACAAAATTTCATCAATTCCAATTTTTAAAACCTATGTAAAAATAATTATTCTTGCTGAATTTTATGCAAATAATCAGGCCAAGTATAATAAAGCAACTTGGTCATACCATGATTTGTCTTTAGTAAAATGGGAGACTAGAGAGAGAAAAAAAATTATACTTTAAGAACTATGGTACATCTGTTATTAAATTCTAGATTTATCTGTTGTTTTTGAAATTTTTTTGAAAGAAGTTGAATCTTTGAATAAACCAAAAACAAGTTCTAAAATTAAGGCTGTAGTAAATAGCCTACTAACCAAAAAAGACCCAGGACCAGATGTTTTCACCGCCAAATTCTACCAGAGGTACAAAGAGTAACTGGTACCATTTCTTCTGAAACTATTCTAAACAATTGACAGAGGGACTCCTCCCTAACTCATTTAGTGAGGCCAGCATCATCCTGATACCAAAACCTGACCCTGGTGGCAGTGCAGCATGAGATGGGGTGGGGATGGGGTTTATCCACGGGCCAGGGGTTAGAGGATTCCCTGGGCAGCACACTGCCTGGCTCCATTCTCTTCATCTTAGATGTATTGGGAGGGTTTGATACACAGAGAAAGAGGAGACCCATCTCAATAAAGGGTATGAATAGGGGATGAAATCAAGGACCAATCTTTGGAGGAGGGCTGCTTATATCTATCTAACTCTGAGAACAGATTGGAGCAGCATGGGATTGGAGGAGAGGAGGGAGCCTCTTAGGGGAAAGGCCCCAGGAGGTTGGACCCCTACTCCCTCCCTTCCCCACAAGACCCCTTCAGCATCTTTCACCCAGGCCCTGTCAGTATCCTGTCCTTCCCTCTGTGTCTAGAAAATCAAAGTTCTCCAGGAGATGTAGCCACTCCAGGTGGCTGAAAAAAATGACTATTTTCAGTCCAAGGAGCAATTTTGGGTCTGCTTTCAGGCAATGAAGTGGTTAAGTGAGAATGAGAGAAGAGGATCCAGTAAATTAGCATAGGGGAGGAGAAGATTCTTTTTTTGTGGCCAGCTGCAGAGAGCCTGTGGCCATAGCTCCCTGGCCAGTGTCAGGTCCTGTTGCATAGTAACCACTGGGGCACAAATATTCCAGCTGGGCAGGTACTGGGAGTGAGACCTGAGGTGTGACTCCCAGTAGCCTCACAGCTGCCTTGATGTCCTGCAGCTACAACCATTTCTGCCAGCTGCTGCCCCCATCCCAGCAGGCCAGCAGCTCATTCAGCACCTGTAGTATCTGAGGCTCCACCAGAATGGGATTCAGGACATCAGCCCTGTACCATCCTTGACCTAGAGAGTGAGCCCCAGGGGACAACCTCGATGCAGGTATCAACTTAGCTCCGTGGTGTCTCTGTTACCAAACACCAAGTGCTCCTGCTGGTTGGGATCAGATCCTAGGACCTCTGCAGGTGAGGTGGGTGACATGAGGCAGGCACCCCAATATTTGATGCTCTGGGGCTTAACATCTGCACAATAGGCGCATGGCACCCCCACTTTACAGACACCCCAGTGAAGGTCAAAGCAGCCCTGAGTGGGGAAGACCCTGACCCAGAGCCCAGAGTCCCACCAGACAATTCTCAAACCAGGGTCTAAAACCTCTTCCTCAAAATGGCTAGGGGTCAATATTTGCAGCTTTGCCAACCCATGTCGATTGCAATGACTCAAATCTGCAGCTGCAGCATGACAGCAGCCTCCCGCAGACAACCTGTGAATGAAGGCGTGTGGCCGCAATCTCACAGAACTTTACTTATGGGCCCTGAAAACTCCAATTTCAAAATGCCACAAAGTATGATTCTTCTTTTGGTTTGTTTGACCATTTGGAAATGTAAAATTCATCCTTGGCTCATGGGAGACAGAAGAGCAGGTGGGGACAGGCTGCACTTTGATGACCTCTGGCAGAAATGAAGCTCAGAGGAGGAGATGATAGGAGGGGGTGAGTCCAACCCCCTCACAGCTGAGATTTACCCCAGGAGGGATCCCTGTCTACACCACCCCACATCTTGGCTTCAAGAGCAGTTCAAGTGAAGAGCAGGGGAATAGAAAAGACCTCAGCAACAAACAGGAAGGAGACTCAGGGTCGGGCAGCCATGTGGATGGGTGGCTCTCAACAGTGCATGCTACAGCAGCCATTGTTTTTTATTTTTTATTTATTTTTTACTTTTTGAGATAGAGTCTTGCTCTGTCGCCCAGGCTGGAGTGCAGTGGTGTGATCTCGGCTCATTGCAATCTCCACCTGCCGAGCTCAAGCAATTAACCTGCCTCAGCCTCTTGAGTAGCTGGGATTACAGGGGTGCGCCAAAACACCTGGCTAATTTTGTAATTTTAGTAGACACAGGGTTTCACTGTATTGGCCAGACTGGTCTCAAACTCCTGACCTCGTCCTCCACCTGTTTGGCCTCCCAAAATGCTGGGTTTACAGGCATGAGTCACTGCACCCGGCCTAATTTTTATATTTTTAGTAGAGATAAGGTTTCGTCATGTTGGCCAGGCTGGTCTCGAACTCCTGACCTCAGGTGATCACTCGCCTTGGCCTCCCAAGTGCTAGGATTACAGGTGTGAGCCACTGTACCGGGCCAACAGCAGTCATTTACACCAAGTTGAGTAAGGCATGACCAGCCCCAGGAGGACCATGGTGGGGGCTCTGTGGGGTAGAGGACATTCTGTATTCTGCACTTATATGGAAGCTCCACATAGCAGTCATTACAGGAAACACACCGGGTAAAAAGGCAATATACAAGTAGGACACCAGGACTGGCCAGTTGGGTCTCACCGGTCAGTGGGGTAAAGAGGTCCAGGTGGGCCCACAGGGTGTGGCTGCTGGTTGGCTTCTGTCTGCAGGAAGCCTGGGACCCCTGTCTAACAGAGGAGGACCCAGGCTTGGGCGAGGAAGCCATCAGAGTCACCAGGTGAGTGGGTCAGAGCTCGAAACAGAGCAGGCAGGGAGCCCTGGCCTCTCCCTGTGAGGGCTGAGAAGCTGGGGTGGGAACACAACCCATGGGCAGATGCACACAGGTGATCTCTGGGCCCCTCCCCCTGACCAGTGACTGCCCAGTTGCTAAGGAGCCACTGAGGCCTGAGACCCAGGGACACACCACCTGATCATCACCCCCAGGCCTTTCTGCCAAGACCCGACAATGCCCAGTGCAGGCAGGTGTTCTGGGATTGGGGTCTGGGGCAGGGGTGCATGTTCCTATCTGGCAGGCGCTCTGACCTAGACCTGCCTGAGCTGACTGCACCATCGCTTGTTTTTCTGCCTGTGTATGGCCTAGATTCAAAGGTCTAGCTGTCCATTCTGGCCACACCATTCTCTGACTTCTCTACCAGGCCCTATTGTGCCTGACCTACCTAAGCCAGCCCCACCTGCCCAGTGATCACCAGAATCCTGCCAGCCAGAAGGACCCACTTTTGACCCCTGAAATATCCACAGGAGCCTTTATTTATTTATTTATTTATTTATTTATTTATTGAGATGGAGTCTCACTCTGTCGCCCGGGCTGGAGTGCAGCGGTGTGATCTCAGAGGAGCCTGTCTTTAGGAGGGGCCACAGCTCAGGGCCAGCTTTCTGGAAGCCCCAGAGTCAGGGGTACTCCTGTTCTGAGTTCCAGCCTCCCAGTTCTGGCTGTCGTGTCTTTTGGGAATCACTCAGCACTGGGAGCTGAGGCTCCCAAGGCAGAGAACATGCTGGTCATGACAGCCTCAGCCCAAGACCCTGGGCCAAGAGCAACAGCCAGTTGGTTCTAGTGTCTGGATAGTGACAATAGGTGAAGCCATCTGCAGAAATACTGCTTCAATCTGGTGCAGTGACAGACTAGGGGGGCCATAGAGCAGCTCCCAGGTCAGCCCTGCCCAGTGTCTCCATCATTGTGGCATGGCAAAAGAACCTGTGCTCAGCCAAAAGCTGAGACCTGACCTGCCCATCCTGCCCACGAGGGACTCTGAGTTCAGGCAGAGGCCGGCAGCAGGGTTGTCAACTTCTGTGATGCTATCCCAGGGCTCACAAGAGCCTGAGGAGACTCAAAAGGAGCTGAGCTGGGGGCATCAGGGAGGAGCCTGCTGAGTGAAGGGCAATGTGGGCCAGGGCATGAGTCAGCACTAAGAGCACATGGCCTGGTTCCCACTGGGGAGGAGGCAGCAGGGGAGAGTCCTGCAGAGCCCTCACGTGCTCCACTTAGCTTCCAGGTACATGGAGTGCCCATAAGCCTCCCAGGAGACCCAGGAATGGTTCTTTCTTGGTCAAGAAAAGAGGCAACCCCACCCATACCCACACAGGCCCTGATGCCCACACATATCAGAGAACAAAACTTTTGTGCCCAGGATGGGGCACTTCTGTGGATTCCAGACCACTTGCTCCTCCTTGTGCCCCCACCCCCACCCTACAGGGTGCTGACCACAACCAAAGTGCCCCATGGAAAAAACAGCCCATGGATGGAGCCCAGATGTCCCGAATGGGCCATGATGGGTCTAAAGTGATATTTCCCAATCACAGAGTCTCTAACTTTGCCACCCACTGGCCCTGTGCTTCAGCTTCTCTTGGTGGTCCTGGATAACAATCTGAAGGCTGGAGGACCCACAGAGGCCACCACCTCCAGTTAAATGGCTGCATTGTAAAAGTTGGGGGCAAGAGACATTCCCTGCCTTGGGTCTCTTGCCTTGGGACTGATGACCATCAGGCCACGGCCAGGCCAGCCTGCTGGATAGGGCTGTGTTCCCTGTACTCTGTGTGGGGAATGGTGCTCACAGTTCCGGGTCACTACTGTTGACGCCCCCAAAACACAGGGGCAGGCGTGCTCCATTATATAAGCCTTGGGTCAATCCCAGAGAACAAGCATCAAATTCACTCCTGTCTGAAGGTGGCCACCCCAAGGCATTTGAGTTTTGGGGTGAGGTAAGGGTCTGGAGTCAGCATCAAAGTGTTCTGGTTTGGGAATCGCATGAAGTTCTCTGCAACTCTCTGAGGTACAGGATGTGGTGCCAGGTCTGTGCTTTTTAAAAAGCCCGAAGTCAGGAGTGCCTGGAAGGAACACTGAAGCCAAGGGGTTTCACCTTTCCTACCTCCCCACTGGAGACATTCCACAAAGTCTCATGACAAACTCAGAATAGGCAAAAAAAAAAAAAAAAAAAAAAAAAAGGAGGCTGTGTGCAGGAAAGTGTACCGGAGGGAGGGGGTAATAAGAGATTACAGGGGATCATCTAACCCAATCCTGAAACACCCCTGCCATATCATGCCCTATCAGTCCTCTCAGACAGCTGAGGAATCTGAGGTCTGGAGGAGGCGCCCAGAACCTGGACAGGCAGTTGGTAGCCTGGAGCCCCCGAGGTCCAGGCAGACACCACCCCAACCTCCAGCCAGAGGCAGCCGGACCCCCAGCTTATTCACTTAGAAGTCACCCAGGTTGGCTGGGCCACTGCCCCTCCCCAGACCCTCCCCTACCACTTGTCAGGCACAGCCTTCCTGCGAAGCTGCCAGGCTAGGGATGAGGATGCCTCGGTCCCCCTAGGAATTGGCTGTCCCCAGGGGGCAGGTGCCCGGCAGCTGCCCACGCGGCCACTGCTCTCTGCTTACCGTGTGGAGCCTGGGGCCCATGTAAGGAGCAGAGGGCACGTGGAGCGCTTAGCCCGGCTCCGCTGGGGACTGTAGGCACTCCACCTCGGGGATGTGGTCCTCATGCAGGTTGGGGTCGGCGCAGCCTTGCCCCTGCTGGCCCCACAAACCCTTCTAGAAGACCCACTATGTCCCGCCTGACCTTGACAGCCAGCGGCCCCACAGCCCTGGAACATCGGCCCGCTCCCCTCCTCTTTGCTTTCTGCATCTCTGGGGGAGAGACCTATCAGCCTGCCAGGTATGAAAGCAGGGTGGGGGCAGTGGTGACGCTAGAGGGTGTCACCTTGTCATGTCGGGCACTGGAGGGCTGAACATGAGCTCATGCACTCACACTCACTCTCCGAAGTCCAGTCTCTCGCTTTGGCCAAAGCTGGCCAGGAACTGGGCCCTGTGAACAGACGGGACAGACGTCTGCATGCCGGCTCCCTGCAGCCTCCTCTTGGTTGGGTGTCGGTTCTGCCGCTGCAGGTGCCACATCAAACGATGCGCCCAGGTGACTCCAGCCACGATCTTCTGAAAGCAGGGGCAGCAAAACCGGGGACTGGCCCCACGGTGCCACTCACACCTGGTGACCACTTTCCACCCAGGTGTCCGTTCCGCATCCTCGAAGCCTCAACCCGCTGAACCTGGACCTTGGTCTTGTGCCGGTTGAGTCTTTCTTCACCTGCCGCTCTCCAGGAGCTCCGAGGGGGTGTCCGCCACAGTGGCCGTAGCCAGACGGAGCGCAATGGTGCAGGCTGAAGCGTCCAAGACGGGGAGGGGACCTTAGCGTCTTCAAAGAGTGCCCTCGACTATTTGGGCGTGCTGCCCCCCAGGCCCGTCTATGGCACCCGCAGAAGGAGGGTTATGAGAAGCATGCTGCTCATCATAACTCCAGTTCTGGGCCCCCTGGATGTGAGATAAAGGGGGACAGGCAGAGCTGGGATGTGACTGTAACAGGGATGGGTCTGTCAAGGGCTGGCTGGGAGCTCCACTCTCCTCTTTCCTTGGTAGGAGGCCTGAGGCCCATCTGCAGCCTCTTTGACTCCTTTTATTCTGCAGAACACCCAGACCCCAGCCTTCTCATGGGAATCGTAAGATGCATGAGGCCCAGGGTTCTTTCAGCCTCTTCCCAACCATGGTCTTTGTATTTCCCCCATATATTTGGGGGACAGGAAGCCCTTGTTATGAACTCAAATTCCACCCACCTTATAGTTGGTCCTGGGATTTGTCATCTTGGTCAGAATCTGAGAGAGTGCCTCCCTATCTAGAAGAAGCCATTGGGCATCTTATCTCACATCCTGTGGATATGACCTGCTATGATGTCTGTCTACTTTGAAGGAGTGTCTAACTCATTGAATAGAATTGAGGCCCAGAGATCTAAACGCTGAAGTCGTTGAATTATGCCAAGGTTCTAGAAAAGTAATCACACAAAGTTAAGTGCTCAGTATTTCTGTGTTAAATGAAAGAATCCCAACCAGAACCTTCTTGGATATCTAAGTGGGCATGAGACCCCTTTTCCAGCACCCAGGGACCCCCTAATCTGTCTATACAAAGGATGATGACAGCCAGGCACGGTGGCTCATGTCTGTAATCCCAGCACTTTGGGAGGCTGAAGCGGGTGGATCACCTAAGGTTGGAAGTTCGAGACCAGCCTTATCAACATGGAGAAACCCCATCTCTACTAAAAATACAAAATTAACTGGGCATGGTGGCACATGCCTGTAATCCCAGCTACCAGGGAGGCTGAGGCAGGAGAATCACTTGAATCCAGGAGGCGGAGATTGTGGTGAGCTGAGATTGCACCATTGCACTCCAGCCTGGGCAACAAGAGCGAAACTTTGTCTCAAAAAATAAATAAATAAAAATAAAGGATTATGACTAGCTAGAAAAAAATCCCTCACAATTTCTCTAAAATGGAAAACAGATTATTAATTTGTCTTAATGAATAAAACAGATTTGCTTTCTATGTGCTGTGTGCTCTTTTGCCTTTTACTATAGTTCACACTTTACTCAAGATCAGATAATTCATACTAGAGAAATACTATACATATAATGGATGTAGAAAGAGTTTGATCTAAAATATAAACTTTAGAAATAACCAGAATTCACAGGGAATTCTTCCATAGGGAAACTTTTCAAATGCAATAAATGTGAAGAAGTATTCAAAAATCAAGTCTAAATAAACCGGAGAATTTCCATGATAAAGTACGAAGGCACTAAAATTTTCAAATTTTACATTAAACAAGAATATTTAATATAGAGCATAATCTAAAGTCAAAACAATTAGATAATTTATTTGTTTGTATGTTTCAGAGAAGCAAGGACTCTGGTATTTGGACACGTATAATTATTATTTCAATGGATACTTATTTTGTATTGTCATTATTTGAGATTCTTTTTAGAAACAACTATTACTGATGTAATTCAACTCTCAAATCTGTTGGCACTATGCCTGCATTCCTAGTGTTTATGTGAAAACATGTGGCCTATTGTTGCTGCATCAGAGCTGGAAGAGGCCATTCTATATGAATTTCTTCATGGAATCTTAGTGGCAAATGTAAAATTTAAAAATAAATATCAAAAAAAACTTGCCAGGCTCAGTGGCTTATGCCTGTAATCCCACCATTTTGGGAGACTGAGGTGGGTGGATCACCTGAAGTCAGGAGTTTGAGACCAGCCTGGCCAACATGGTGAAACCCTGTCTCTACTAAAAATACAAAAAAAATAAAAAATAGCTGGGTGTGGTGGTGGGTGCCTGTAATCCCAGCCACTCAGGAGGCTGAGGCAGGAAAATTGCTTCAACCCGGGAGGCAGAGGTTGTAGTGAGCAGAAATTGCACCATTGCAC